CTTCCTATGCCCATGTTTCTCTCTCTCCCACTCTTCACTCTTTCTCAATGTGCTGGCCACATTCCTATTTTAATTATGAGAGAATTACAGTCAAGTTCCACATAACAGAAATAATTACCGAAAGGTTCTAATAACAATATCAACAGCTTATAATGACAAGTCTTATAGTGAGAATGATAATTCCTATGACTTGTTTTTTAATTATTTTTCTTGTTTAGGACCTTATTGTAATTCTCTCTTTAATTATTCACTTCAACCCCTTTGTGACCTAAAATGGATACATTTTAAGTGTTTATAAGTAATTTTCATATGAATTGAGATAAAACTTCTCTTTTGAAAACTACTTTAAAAGATTCCAATTGCCATTTCAAACAAGCCTTACTTGTTATTTTTCCAATCATCAACATTTTTGGGTTGAGATTTGTAGCTTAATTGATACTCGGCTGGTCCTTAATATAGAATTTAAGAATTGATTTTGGTCCTAAATATAATATTTATTTCTTATATTTATCAATTTTTTGTAAATTACTCCTATAGATCTCTCTCAACCATAATCAAGTAGAAGAGGGAGAGAGGATATTAAGAAAGATGATTATGCTGTTTTAAAAAAAACATATCATATTTCTTATCATTGACTAATTTATCTAACTTCCTTAATCTAATCAAATTAGTTAAATAGATTTTATATTAAAGACCATTAAGTACTTTCTCTAACAGTTTTTGAATATGAAATTGTAAGTTTGAATTTTGGGTAAAGTACAGCAGGCATGTGAGATATGATTAAAAAAATTAATATACCATTCAATGTCAAATATAAATAAATACAGAGAGCAGAATTAAGTAGTTAAATTAAAACTCAATTTCAGGCTCTAAAGTGTGATAGACGTGGGAGGGGATCACATGCAAGACTCAAGACTTATAACTTGTTAAGTTTGGGCTTTTCCTTATGGGCTTTTCCCCGAAAGTAAAATGTCTTCTAGTCCCACTCATCAGGAAATAAAATGTCTTCAAGCCCATTTAACAAGGGTCAAGAAACAGGAAGGGGTCTACATTCATCAGCAGATGTGGCTGTTTTACTTCAACATATCTTCTGTGTATGAAACAGAAATGTGGACAAATTCAACACCCCTCAGCTTGCTCCTCTTGAAGATCAAATAACTTTGAAGCTCATCAGGTGGCTTCAATGGAGGTAGGACTGCATTTTGTGGTGTGTTAATTATCCCAACCATGTTCTATTTTTCTTCGGTTCCCTGTGAAATCAGAATGGTGAATTTATCTCCCACCTTGTAGGGACATTTCTTGCCAGTTTAGAGTTGCGGTAAAAACTTTGTAAAACCTTAATGCTAATATACTCTTCCGCTTCTTAATATAAGACTTAATTGTCAGTTAAATTTAGTTTTAAAGACATGACTTATTTCTCATATTTATTAAATTTGCCTAAATTATCCCTATGGATACAATATACTCCCCCAACTATAATCAAGTAAGTAAGGGAGGGAGGGTATTAAGAAAGATAATTATGATGTTTAAGAAAAACATATCATATTTTTTATAATTAACTAACTTACTTAATCTAATCAAATTAATTAAATATGTTTTATATTAAAAACCAGAGGACTATAATAGAAGAATGATTGGGGTTAACTCCTATCAAAGACTGCTTCTGCAAACCAACAACCTTCACCACTGCTTCATTCTAAAACCAATAATCTCATTATGTCATGAACACCAACTTCAACCTCAAAAGACTAGCTATTAAGAGGTAAAAAATTTTAAACTTTTAAATTACACCAAGGCTCCAGGCTCTTACCTAGGAGGGACATAATACCGAAACGGAAACCCCACTTTTTTCCGCTGGTTGGAATTTTGGTCATTAGATTCATCTAAAGGTGAATATTGCACCACGTCATGCAATATTTTGTGAGGGATCTTGCCCTTGATCATTCAACAGGAGAGAATCTCAGCCGTTAATTTTAGATGCTTAGACCTAATTCCTGAACGCCATCCAATTTTTGAAAATTTCTCTTCGCCCCCGGCTTTCACCGGCGCTGTCCGCTTCTCCATAATCCTTGCTTTCTGACCGGTGCTCAATCGAGGAGGAGATGGAGGGCTGCAAATTTAGAGAATGATGGGACTTTGAAGAAGGACCTGATTGAGAGGGAGGGGGCGAGTCTGGTGGGGCTTTGAATAAATATTCATTTCTGCTGATAGGTAATTTTGATCCCGTTGAGTTTGCTTCTATTGAGTGTATTTAATTTCTGATTTATTGATTATAACATGAAAACTGTCTTGAATTTTGCTGATTGATCGGGGTTGTTTGGGACAAATGAGAGAATTTGGTTCTGCATATTCTGAAAATTTATCGTGAATTGGCCACAAATGCCCGGCTTTGGTTTCTACTTTTTGCTAATTTGCTAATGGCTCTTATGCTATAATTGTTCAGTTTGAATTTGGATTCTGAATTTTCCTGTTGGTTGAACTGAAGGAACTGGCTACTTCAGGTTTGCTTAGTGCCATGATTTGGGTGGTGAAGATGCGTCAAGCCATGCATTATTCATATTAATGGCATAGACACTGGAGATGCTTGCTCACTTACGAAATGCACTTCTCCATATGCTGCAAGTGCTGCCTTTTAAGTCGTTGCAGAGCAACCATTCACTAAAAATAATGCCGAGAAACCGAAAGAATTACTTTTGCCATGGTCGAGCTTCCCAAGTCTCTTTCTCCAAAGCAACTTATCAAGCTCCTTAATGCAGAGAAAAACCACCACTCCGCTCTCCAACTCTTTGAAGACGCCTCTCGGCATCCTGGGTACAAGCATTCCTCCAACGTCTTTCACCACATTCTTCGACGCATATCTGACCCAAGGTTTGTTGTCCATGTGGATCGGGTCCTCGAGATGATCCGATCCCAGAAATGCAAGTGCCCTGAAGATGTTGCATTGACGGCGATTAAAGCCTACGCAAAAAATTCCATGCCTGATCAAGCATTGAATACATTTCAGAGAATGGGCGAAATTTTTGGCTGTGAACCAGGGATAAGATCATACAATTCGTTACTTAACGCTTTTATCGAGTCCAATCAATGGGATAGGGCGGAGGCCTTTTTTGCGTATTTTGAGACAGTGGGTATGGTACCCAACTTGCAGACCTATAATATTTTAATCAAGATATCGTGTAAGAAAAAGCAGTTTGAGAAGTCGAAAGTTTTGTTGGGATGGATGTGGGATAAAGGGATGAAGCCTGATAGATTCAGTTATGGTACTCTTGTTAGTTCGCTGGCCAAGACTGGTAATTTATCGGATGCGTTAGAGGTGTTTGACGAAATGAGTGAAAGAGGGGTGAATCCTGATGTGATGTGTTATAACATGTTGATAGACGGGTTCTTCAAAAGTGGTGATCCTGTGAAGGCTAATGAGATGTGGGATAGGTTGTTGGAGGATAAATTGGTTTATCCAAATGTTGTAACTTATAATATAATGATCAACGGTCTTTGCAAATGTGGCAAGTTCGATGAGAGTTTGGAGATATGGGACCGGATGAAGAAAAATGATCGACAGCATGACCACTTTACTTACAGCACTCTGATTCATGGGTTGAGTGAGGCAGGGAACTTAGATGGAGCGAAAAGAGTTTATAAGGAGATGATTGAGAGAAGGGTAACCCCAGATATTGTTATATGTAATACTATGCTTAACGGATTTTGCAAAGCAGGGATGATCAAGGAATGTTTTGAATTGTGGAAAGAGATGGGAATGTTTGGTTCTCGAAACATAAGAAGTTATAACATATTTATGAAGGGTTTGCTTGAAAACAGGAAGGTAGAAGACGCGATATCTCTCTGGGAAATCTTGCCACAGACAGAATGTCTTGCGGATTCCACTACGTATGGAATTTTAACTCATGGTTTGTGTAAGAATGGTTACCTGAATAAGGCTTTACAGATATTGGAAGAGGCAGAGAAAAAGGGAGGTAATGTGGATGCCTTTGCATATTCCACGTTGATTAATGCATTATTCAAAGATGGAAAATTAGATGAAGTGTCTAGAGTTGTAAATATGATGGATAGGCGGAAATGTAAATTTAACCCATATGTCTGCAATTCACTTCTTGATGGATTTGTAAAACATTCCAAACCTGATAGTGCTGCCGAATTCTTTGGGACAATGGGCTCTAAGGGTTGCTCACCAACCGTTGTTTCCTATAATATTCTGGTGAATGGATTATGTAGAGTAGGAAGATATCCTGAGGCATATTTTTACATGAAGGAAATGATTGATAAAGGGTTGAAACCAGATGTTATCACATACAGCTTGTTGATTGATGGCCTTTGTCAAAGCAATAAGATTGATGCCGCACTTAGGCTGTGGCATCAGTTACTGCACATGGGCTTTCAGCCTGATGTAACTATTTACAATATTATGATCCATGGACTTTGTTCTTCTGGCAAAGTCGAATGTGGTCTACAACTCTATTTAAAGATTAGGAAAACCAACTGTGTTAATCTTGTGACCCACAATACCATAATGGATGGTCTTTACAAAGCTGGGGACTGTGAAAAAGCTTCAAAGATTTGGAGCTACATTTTAGAAGACGGGTTACAACCAGATATAATTTCATATAATATTACTCTTAAGGGGCTTTGCTCTTGTGGTCGAATAATAGATGCGCTGGGGTTATTAGATGAAGCTTTGGGAGATGGAGTTGTCCCAACTGTCATTACGTGGGATATACTTGTCAGAGCTGTTATTATATATGGGGCTTGAGCTTCATTTTTTGGGCTCTGAAATTAATTATAGCAATTTCAACCTCTATTATCTACTGCTTGTTGGGCATGTCAGCTGTAGCAATCTATTAATTTATGAGTGGCTTGTTGGTTTCCCTATAAAGCAATGAGCTGGCGTTATTGTAATTGGACCCTAGCAGAGTATTTAATAGCGGTGGGTATAATCCAACTTGCCATCAGGGAAATCATCTCCATTAATCAAATTGCTTGGCCCTTCCTCTTCCTGTTCCTGACTCTACTGGATATACCACACAGCTCAATCTACGCAGTTCCCAAGTTAGAGCAAAATGATTTTTCAAAGAATGGATACATATCTTCTCATTATGTTATGTTTGGATTTTAATATCCTGATCATTGATATTGATGCTTAATTTTGCTAGACAAGTCACCTGAATAACTCGAGGGTCACCTGTGCTGCTGAGATCTTCCCTGTAGTTCATGGTTCCAGTGCTGCTACACAGGAGGCATGTCAACAAGCAACATGAAATGCATATATCAGAAGATGGATGAAGAAACTTATATTCAAGAAGAGGTATGCGTTAGCTCTACTGATTATTATTAAATTTCAAGGGCTTGCTAATACTTTTCCTCTCGCCTTTCTTTGGAGGCTGATTAAAATTGCATATAATAGCATATATGTGTAAACATTGGGATTTTAATTACCGAACAAGTTCATCTAGACTTTCTTCTCTAAACTATAAGGATCATCTGTTTTTAATTTGTGAGGTGTTTTTGGTGATGTATTGTTCCTAGAGCTGGGTATGAACTTTCTATTTGCTTTTTCGTGTTGGTTATGTTAGTCAGCACTTATTACAGTAGTAATCAATCCGTGCGGCATGCTGGCATATCAAGTTATAAAGAAGGAACTTTATTCTTTATCGTGCATGGCCTTCCATTATATACGCATATTATAGATAATTTTGAGAAGAAATATGCCTTTGATTGTTAATGTCCATTTGTAAAAGCTATAAAGTTGGGAAAGCTATAGCTCGATGGTCTATATGAATAAAATATTAGATTCATCAGCATCACACGTGGTTGGTTACTCAGTTACCTAGATTTCGGTGATTGCAGTGATATCACTGATATGACATATTGTTGATGCCAAAGAAAAATGCTTGATATGTCAGGCCCAAGTTTTAAGCTATCACTTGGGGTTATTGTATCACGCAACAATCATTTATAATGTATTTATATTTTTCAGCAGCTTGCTGTGAATCAAGTTGTTTTGTTTTTTCATTGTTCTTTTTCCTTATTGTCTTTGATTTTTGTTTTGCTCGACACTTTTTATCCATAGATGAACTAAGACAAAGTCTCCAGAATAGCTCCAAGAATTGCAACTTTTCTCCTATTGCTTGAGGATGAGGCAATAGCAGAAAATCAAATATTCCACAGGTCAGCTTGGCCACTTAAGATGAGGCAAATGTTTTTTTTTTTTTTCCCTGGTATTGCTGGTTACATCCTTTGTCTTTTGTACCTCTTCCTTGCCTTCTACGTTATCAGCAGGTAAAACTTTGGGTTTACATTCATCTTCGCGCCAGGGAGCCTGGAAATGAGACCCATTTGCAGAGGCACAAAATAGAACTACTTTTGTTGGAGTGTCTCTTGCAGAAGGGTCCACTTATTAGGATCAGAGAAAGGATGAATGGCTTTTGAGGGCAATCATTATTTTATGATCAGCGACATTTGTGAAAATTATGAGCATATTTTTGTGACAAATTTGCAGGGACAAGGATGTATATAGTACTTGATTCATTCTAATTCCTTACAGGTGCAAAAGTAATTGTATATAGATGATACTCTCTTATGCTTAAATATTTTATTATTTTTTTATAATATAATTATAATATGATTGCATGGCTAGAAGGGATTCAAATTAAAATTTGATATTGTCTTTGCTCAGAGTAATTTATTTTTGGATTGATGGACATTTTAAAATAAAAGAAAATCATATGATTAATACATTTGTAAAAGCGGAAGCGAGTAGAATGGTCCGACAGACACGTATGACATATATGAATTTTTATATTTAGCGAACGAGTTTACAGTATAAATTAAATAGAAATTAAAAAAAATCACAAAAACAAGAAATAAAAAAAGACATTACTAGTTTTTTTTTTTGGGGGGGGGGGTGGAGGGAGTCAATCTCATTTCTCCCCACACATTCTATGCTTGGAAACTTGTCAAGGGGCTAGAACGGGATAATAATCGAGGGCAAAGTAGCATCTGGTCTTTTGTTCTCAATTGTATGCAGCATCCTGCCCTTGTGTTTCTAATGCTTCTATCACTTTTTATTCACAGTGCATATACTACCTCTCTGATCCTAATTAATTATAAGAGTTAGTTGACTAATTTGATTTGAGAAGATTAAAAAAAAAAGTTAAGTTAGTTATTTGTAATAAATAGGTGTTATATTTTCTAAAATATCCTTACTATTTAAATATGTTGGTTAGAATTATCATTGTTAGTGGGACTACCTCGAAAAAAAATATAAATATAAGAGACAAAATGAATTGGGTTTTTATATTTAAGACTAAAATAAAAGTCAAACAAAATCTTATATTAAGAAGTAGAGGTAGTAGTATCCTAAATTATAAATAAAATTAGAGTGATGAATGTAACTAAAAAATAACGTTAGAGAATATTAGAGTAAATACACCATAAATAAGATTAGGCTATCGCATACTACTTTACCCAATCATTAACATAACATATTTCATTGCTGAATTTTTGAAACTCAATGGAAAAAGAAAGTGAAATGTCAACGTTGACCTTTTTATTTAAACACTATCTTCTCGGGATAATTAAGATGATAACACAATTATTGCTTCAACAATTTACCCTTCATGTCAAATAGCTTTCTTCATCATTGAAGATTATTAAAGGTTAACGAAAAAGATTAATCGTGACAGAAGCTTTGTGCATCAACGAATTGAAAGTAAATGAAACGGATCAATTCTCCTGATCACTGATTAATCATTGTGTGACTAATACAAAGGAGAAATTAGATATTAATTTCGGTCAACATTAGAAAAATACTTGATGTGTTAATTACTTAATTAAGAAATAGGGAAGAATAGACGAATTGTGGATGCCCTCGTGATTATTTGATATTTATTGGCAAACATACTGGAAAATATAGTTGATCGTATTTTATATAATATAATATATATTTTTTGACAACATATTGTTCAATTTAAAAATTCTCTTTTGATGCATAATTTTTCAATGAAAAATTGAAAACTAACAGAAGCTTTACAAATAAATAAGTTTATTTTTTTAATGCAATAATAAATACAAAAATCAACAAATTGAAAATTCAAGAACAAGAAAAGGTGACGATCAGAATTTTTTGCCCAAGCTACTGTTTGCTTTAATTTGGATTACTTCTTTTTTATAATTGAAAAACGAAGTCAACAGCAACAAAATATTGATATGGATATCTTCTGCAAAATAAAAGGATCCTATGCCCTAGGTCCAACATAAAGTCAGTTCTAGGATTTTCGTCTTTTCAAATAAAGGTCTTGTGGTTAAACCTAGATAAAATCATTTTCTTAACAGGGCTATCACTAGGCAACAATAGAAATTGAACTTTCTTATGATGGAAAGGTTATAAAAAGAAAATCTCTCTCAATTAAATTAGGTTTACTCCATGGACAATATACAAAAATAAAAAATAAAAAAAATCCACACCACAACAAAAAAAAAATCTTTTATTTTACATTGTTTTTTATATAGCTGCAAATTATTTATGAAGTAAATTGAATGTTGCGGCCTAATTAATTTGGTGTGAATAGCGGATTTTCTTATGGACTCATGGTAATACTACTTATCCTGCTAGTAATCTGTTAAATTAAGGATTCAATCTTATATATTACCTCTGGTTGTAATATATGAGCTAAATAAAAAAACAATTTATTTTAATTCTAAATAAAAGATTTCAATTTATTTTATCTCCTAAATGTATAATTTTTTCAAAATATTTCTATTAATTGAAATATTAAGGGGGCTTATAATCAAAAAGTAATTCCAATCACATGATTAAAGAGCATTAATTTTAAAAAAATCAGAACCAATTTGTTAAAAATAAATAATTTTTTAATTATAAATTAGTTATTTAGTTCTGTAATCCAAAAAAAAATGTTGGTACGAAAAGAAGAAAACAAAAACCAGAGAGAAAAATCAAGAAGATATATAAGTGCTCTCCATCTGTAGATTTTGTTTGAGTTTTACTTCATCTCTAATATTAAAAGGTACCACTTCGCACCATCAAACATCATCAACAAATTCCATGATATTGACTCATTTCCAGCCGCGCTGACCGTACAACACTTTATTCTATTGTTTATCTCATTCTAAGTTACACACAGCTTTGAAAAAATTGTATAGATAGTTTTATTTATTTTAAAATGAAAGCAGAAGAGTAACATATATTCATCTTCCTTTGAGTCATACATAAGCCTATTCTATTTTCAAAGGAGATTTCTATGTATGTTTTAAAAATTAAAAAGAAATATGTGCAATTTCAACATATAAAACTCGAGAAACATTTATATACACGACTTAGCCATGGAGAAGAGATATTTAATCTTTTAACCGTTTAGGATATTAAGCTTTTATTAATTTCAAAAAATGAAAACAATAATTTATGTAATTTGAAAAAAAATCACAAAATTTATGTATAATCTTCTCTACTCTTTTATATTTATTTTTTTAAGAAATATCTACACATAAATTAATACCAAAATAATGGGAGGTGATTGATTAGAAATAAGGGAGAGAGATCTAGAAGAAGAAGGAGACAGAGAAAAATGAATTTGATGGCACTTGGGCAATCTTGGAGTTTAGTCTTAATTTTCAAACAAGTGATGATTTTCATTTTATAAGGGCTTCTATCTGATATATGACCTGAAAACTATTTCCCAACTGATCGATTATGTTCATTAACAAGGGCAGCTTTCTGATATGTGACCTGAAAACCATTGCTCAACTATTTTTTTCTCTTTAAATTCTATTCTCTCAAACTAAGTAACCTCCTTCTAGTGCCTTGGCCTCTCATCTCCCACATATTATTCTACCTACAATATTTTTCACCAATATTAGTTTAAAGATATGAGAAAGCCTGCCAAATATATATATATAGACTGAATATATATAACATTACCTCCACTTTTGAATATAAGTAACTTCAAATTACTTCACAGATATTAAGAAAAACTCTATATTTAAGGTGGTTTATTAACTTCTTAATTTGTCCCAAATTGCAATGATTTTTCAGAATTACCCTAATAAATGGTTTATATTTAATTTTTCAAAGTGTCATAACGGCACCTTTGTGTGCGTGTCTTTCCTTCCTTATGGGAAAAGCCACAGAGATATAACAGATTTCTTATGGTTAAAAAAAATAAAAAAAATTGAGCACTATATATTATGTTATGCTAATTAGTTATTGTTGTTGTTACTTTTAAGTGAAAAAGAATGTGTTCTGAATTAAGAAATGATTTTTAGTTCACTGCTCGCTATTAAAAGGGTATTTCACCTTCAAAATGATTGATTTAATTTTACGATAGCAATAATTAGTCAGTGCTTTTGCTTTTATTAAGCTCCTTTCACAATATTTGAAGACAGATAAGTTGTCTTAGGTTTAAGGCAACTATCAAAACGTTTGTTACACTATCATTTCAATTACTGTATACATAGATTCTAGATATATATTAGAAACTGTTAATCAAGATATTAATTTCATTGGGCAGAATAATGGATTAATTTATATGTGATGATTCTCAAGTTTTAAGTTATCCTCTCAACTGTAAAAATCAGAAAACCTTGTTATACAAATTTTCACAATTTCACGTTTAAAATCTTATGTCCAATTTTCATTAACAAATGTGTACCACACATCTTGCCTCAACAGGTCTTAATTGGTCTAAAAATACATTACTGAAAAGCACACATTAAAGTCCAGAGTGAATAATTTTAGTTTATTACTTGATAGATATTGTTCAATTGACTTTTAGAATTGGAGTTTTTTTTTGTGTGGCTTTTTTGCTAACAAATTGAAGAGTTCATATATTTATATTTTCTTTAATATCAAGTATTGGTAATCTCAAATACGATAACATTTCATATCACCTTATTAATTACAGATTAGCCATTATATATGTCCGAAATTTTTAAAAAAAATTCTAATAGCTCGTAATTAATGAAGCTTTGGTGGGTATAGGAATATTTAAACCTTAGGGAAGACAATTTTACAACCAAATAAGCTTAATCACCTAAAAAAAAAAAAGGTGTCCAAGGACCCAAAACACACAATTTATTGTGACGCACATAGGATATATATCATCGTACAGACTTACATAACTACAGCTTTTTAGTATTAGCTGTTCTCTTCGATCTTTTTCATAAGACTATATTAACTAAACTTTCATAAAGCCAAGGAAATTAGTTAAGGTTAGATAAATTTTTTAAAAAATGTATTACTCTTTAATTAGCATATAATTTTTTGGGGAGAGACGATGAAAAACCGTCATGGATAGAGATCAATTATAAACGTTTCATTAGATTCTGTAAAAGGTCTTTTGTATCATGAACTAATATAGAGGCAGATTTTTATAAATAAGATAGACGGGAGTACCAATTAAGAATTAAGGAAATTTTTTTTTTTTTGGGGGTTTGGGGAGAGAAAGAAAAGTGTAACTTGGTTTGGAGGAATAACGGGTGTTCTTTTAACTGAGCTTGCTTGTAGGCTCACCTACCCTGGTAACAACGACGTCGTAGCAGTTGTTGTTTGAGCCTTTATAAGGGTGATGCGTTAGGCAGTCACCCATGAATCAACTTCATAAGTAACTTATATTCACAGC